ACCAGCGCCTATAACCTTTTGGAGCTACTATAAATCAAGTCGTAATGGCAATTAACAATACACACACATATATGTATACGAAACAAAGGAAACACACAACAAAAAAACAAAAAAAGAGTGTACGGAGAAAAGACTTTCGCTTTCAAACGGCGCTGATATGATGCAGTTTTTCTTTTGGTATTTCCGTGTGTCTATATGCCTCTGAGACCGGAGGCTTTTCAGCTTTTCAGGGATTGTGCAGTGGATCTCTGGTTCATTTGCAGTAAAAACTACTTCAAGAATCGTTTCCAGGTACGCGCCATCAATGTCAAAAGTTTCAAGTAAAAAATCAGATCGGATTAGATCAGATCGGACCCTATTTTCAGCCATCTGACTTGTCTGTCTGCCCTCGATAAACAAACAAGTTTACCAGCTGCTGCGTTTGCCCCATCCCAGTCTCAGTCCGAGTCCCAGTCCCAGTCCCATCCCCAGATACAGTGCATCTGCCTGCCGTCACTTGTTTTTGTTGTTTTGAGGGCATTTCTCAGATGGTACGCCATGTACATGGCACATGGCACATGGCTATTTATGAAACGAGCATTAACCATCCACCAGGCCACGGAATACCATCCTCTCCACTCCACTCCACTGCACTCTCGTGATGTTTGCCTTGTCTTTTCTTTACTCGTCTTGTAGTTGGTTCGTAATCTACGAGAATTTGTATCTTGTTCTGCTTGAGTTCTGTACCTCTGTACCCCTCATGCCCCTTGTGTGGCCCATTCAAATCCCGAAACCAAATTTGTAACCCGCACATTAATGCAGCGGATACCCGTACACACAGGTGAATGCACTCAGGTACATAATTGTACGTGTGTCTCGCTCTCTTTGCCTCCCATTGAACTGGAATTAAATAAACCAAGTACATGCCAAGAACTATGCTGGCTTTGCAGCTCAACTAGCCTGACCTTTGGCCTTGGCATTTGAGCCATCACACGGCGATAGCAGCTGATTCGCTCTCACGATTCGGTCGAAGAAAAATTCACTGCTGATCGATTAAAAGATTCGCCACTCGCTGTAAACTACTCTTTGACTCGCCACTAGTTGATGCAAGGGGTTTTCTACTCGTCGATGAAGAAGGGACTCATGCTCGTGGATGTTCTTTTACAGTGCTCTCTCCTCCGAGAGATCTTTGTGCCTGCATCTATTCGCCAGCGAATAGTCGTAGAACTGCTCGCTCTCCTTCCACGATTCCCATATTATTGTGCGGAGAAACTTGCAAAGGTTTTTAATGGCTTGTTTTAGCTGAACGGAGCTCAACGGACACTTAACTGGGACCGCAGGGGATCGCAGAGTTCGCAAACGGCGCCCCATTGCGTATTCGTCACTCCGTGGGTTCATGCGAAAGTTCAGCTCCGAGTACGCGACAAAAACCCGTGAGTGTAGCCCATGGCTGTAATTACCAGCTCTCTCTCTGCTCGCAGTGCAATCCAATATGGCTTTACGGCGATGTGGTAGGTGGTGATAGTACATGCAATATATGTATGCCACACAAATAAGGAACTGCAACGAGGGGCAGCTCTACGCTGCGGATCGTTTCGCAGAGTATGGGTCTATGGGTGCATATTGGATTCGTCACGTAATCGAATAACCGCAAATAACGACCCAACATAATCAGTATTTCTGGTTTGTCCCCCACCACATATAAATCCCCATAAACCCCCCTTTATATGGTACACATTTGATATTTATAAAAATGTATCCCTTGTTCTCCATTATCAACTTTGCAAGTTACTAATTGGAGTCTCCATCCTTGGGAGAGACACCAGCCACCAGCCACCAGCCCCAGAAGAACGGAACACAGAATGCCTCGGCTTCAGAGGGAGCCGGTTCTCCCTCCCCTTCCCCCTTCCCCGTTCCCCCTTCGCCATTCCCCTCGTCGGCAAACAGAGCGTGTCGAAGTTGGGGAGAGAATTGTTGCATGCGTGCTTGCGTCTTATTAATAGTGCTTGTACCCCCTCCTTCCCCCCGCTGTGCCCACTCGTTTTCTTTCTCTTTTTCTTCCTGCCGCTTTCTCGATTCATCTCAATGTTAAAATGTTAATTATACATTCAAAATTCGTAACCAAAACCCACTTTGACTCACAGAAATGCTCAGAAACTCATGAATGTGCGCCAGGCGGCACAGAATACACTCTGTGTTTGATGGGTGGATGGGTGGATGGATGGATGGGAAGTGGCACACCACAGCACTCTCCGCACTCTCCGGCTGGCCTTTCTCTGATCGGTAAACACACACCTATCCAAGGAATCGGCATTGCCAGCGACCTTTTGTTGATTCAAATATGATTCCCTCCACCTACTACTACTACTGTTGGAGCTTCCTTCTGGCTCTGCCCCTGCCCCTACCCCTGCCCCCCTCTCTCTTATAAATATGCACACGCCTGTGGCTTCCTACTCGCTTCCGACTGGCATCCATAATTCATTTTGTTCGTGCGTCGCTGGAGTGTCTGCCTGTTGTCTGTGGCAGGCAGTAGGAACGCTGTGTGCCACACCGACTCCTCTAGTGGGTCGTAATTGCCTTGGAGTACTGGCAAATCAATACTGATGATTATCATGACCCAATCTTCGTATCCTCCGTGTCTAGAACCTGAAAGACACACACAAAAACCTGTCTCTCTCTCTCTTTTATTGTCTCTCGGTGGAAGCTTGGGGGCAGGCCTGGCCTGATCGGTTGAGATCTTCCAAGAACCCACACCCCCTCCCCTTTGGGCTGGCACTTGCCGGTCTTCGGCAGCAGAAGGTGCCCCTTTCGTTGGTGGGAATAGGATCTAGGACTACTAGCACAGGTCTGCTATGCTTTAAAAAATAAGCCCATCGTTTGGAAAATTTATGAATTTATTGGAAAATCGCGTCACTTACGTCCGGCACTGTATGCATCTGAGCCTTCAGCTTTTCTTTTGGTTGGGCTCTTGTTTGCTCAACAATAATTTGTGGCTCTTAAATGAAGTTTTGGGCGTGGCAAAACGCTGGGATTAGGTAGGACCCGCTCTCCATGGGGTTATCGGAACATCCTTATTCCTCATTCCCCTTGGCGATTGGCATTTCGCATTTTGCGCGTCTTTGAGGGCCAGGTAACCGGCGGCCCTGCGCTGTCCCATCGCAGAGCTACCTGTCCCGTCGCGGACCTGCAACATTGAGGACCGGTTTCAGATGCAACTTGCAGTTCCAGTTGGAGTTGGAGTCGGAGTCGGGGAATGCGCTGCCTTGACCCCACCTTGCACCATGCACTTCACCTAGTTAAACATCCAGAGCTCCCCCCAGAGCAGGGGCCTTGCCTCAACCTTGGGCCACAATCTCAGCAGCTGCACCTGCCCCTCAACAGCGAGTGCTGTGAGTGCCCCTCAACACATCCTGTGTTCCATCGGCGGTTCGGGGCGCCTGCTGTATTTCCGGTAAAATATCAACTTTCCACGTTTCCACTTCTGTGAGAGCCTAGAGAAGTGGAGAATCTTCCAGTCCTTTCGGGGTTTGGCTTGTCGGGGCTTCGGCAGGGGACTCCTCTCTTCGTGGCTCTGCGATAGATCAGGTCTCCTTTGAATTTGCTTCTCTATTGTTTGCCACATGCCAATTGAGAGGCGGAGAGCCAGGCGGCTGGCAGGACTAGGAACCGGTTTCCTGCCAGCAGCGGCAGATGTTTTCACGCCAAGGAAGCCACCACCAAACCGATACTCACACTCACACACGCACACTCACACTCACACTCATACTCGTGCAGGGTACGCGTACGAGTCCTTCCCTTATTTCGGTCGGAAAGCAGGGTGAAAATCGCTGCTGAGATCAGTCTGAATCCGTACGACGAACCGATCGAATCGCACAGGCAAGCGCTCAACGAAAATCCATCGTGATATTGGGGTGGAATGCGAATCCGTAGTCTCCGTACGATCCGTGCAACATTCTGATTATGGTCACATACCACGTGCGGTCCGTCCTGACGCAGTTTAGTGTCTCGTACTCGCAAATCGAATCGCCGGGTGAAGTGGCCAGGACTCGAGTCCACCGAACAGCTGCTGCCGCCGCCACGCCAAAGTGCAACAAAGTCTCGCGAAGAGGCAGCAACATGCAGGAGCCGCCACGCGGACACGGGTCGAAGTCAGCGCCAGTTTCGCAGCACGGCACGCCCAGGAAGCAGGCCGTGGCCCTGGCGGCGGGTCGCCGCTTCAGGACTTTGCAACGGTGAGACGACGTCCTGCGAAAGGGGGATGGGATGCCCCGAGCTGGGGCTGGCATTCAATCGAGGCGTCGCTCTCCTTCCACTGCACATCAAAGCGAGAGACGACTATCGGTCGGGGCTTATCTGTTCACTGCATTCCTTCACGCACCATAGATTTAATCCGTTTTTTGTTAGGACCTGACCTTCCTTTGGCCTGCCGCTGCTCCTGGCAAGAGTCCAGAGGGAAAGGAAATCCAAAGACACCGCAGGCTCGCACTCTCCATTCTCCCTTCCTTTGTGTGCCATCATGTCCTGTTGCTTCCTAATACCTCCGCACATCCAGGGTCCTTTCTGAGCCGTCCTAGGCCGTTTGCCTGCTTGTTTTCTTTGTGTGCCCGGAGTTCCCGGAATCGATACGGCAGGACACGACGATGTTTGCTTACAATAAGCATACGACAACAGAGGGAAATGTAATTGGCAAAGTTTGCATTTGAAATCCTTTTTGAGGCCACTTTGTTCCCTTACCCTTACCCTCAGCCTTACTCTCTAAAATCCCCCTAGAATCGTAACCTTATGTCACGTGAAACACTGTCACATCCTTCTCTGAATTCTGCTGCTGTAAATTGCCCTGCATTGTGCACCCTTTGCCAACGGCTAATGAGGTCTACCTCGGGACCTTCCGCGAGGTCGTCCTACCTGTTGCCCTCGACAGCCCGATCTGCTACTGTCGGCGGCGCTAGATTTTGCATAATTATCCCCGCGATACGGCTTGTTTCCTCCGACTAAAGCGTATATTTCTGTTTCCCTTGCAGCATGCCGAAAACCGGAAATCACGGAATCAAAGTCGTAGGAACCAGGAGCAACAGGACCACCTTTGCCGGCGGACTGGTAAGTTTTTGAGCTCTGACAGCCCCTAAATACTAGCACTAAAGCCGCCACTAGATACGATCACATATCTATTTGAGTAGCAGTAAGAATAGCCTCCTTGCAGGACTGCAGAGGTGCGGTATCGCATTACCCGGACAGCAGCTGGCGTCTGTTTGGCCTCCAAAAATTGTATTTGATTTATTTCGGTCGAGCGACTGCGACAGCTGTGTTTCCGTTGCTGTTTCTGTTTCTGTTTCAACTTTGTTGATGGATATTTTTAGTTCCTGTCACTCTCCGGTGTTGGGGCAGAGCACACGACATGCTTGAGGCCAAGAGCAGGCTCGAGGAGGGGCGTTGATTGCACTCTGAACGCTTTTAAAGAGCAAGAACTTTGTTGGTTTATTACCACCCTCCCTGCCCCCCTCGCCACCCTGTGGCATTACAACAGTTCCGTGGAGCTGCCCCATAAAATTGTTGGAGTTTTTATAGACCAAAATAGCTGCTGGAACACCACCAGTTCTTAAAAAGTCTCCGCCGATAAAGCTCGGATAATGAAACTCTATTTTACGAGAGACTCAGAGACATCTGGGAGATGCCTCCAGCCATGTTGGACTCCACCGAAAGAGTTCAATAGACTGGCTTTTATATAAGAGGCGATGATACCATGGCATCCTATCGATTCCGCCAACCGCAAAGCTTTCTTAAGACTTCCCAGTGGGGGGCAGGGGGGCGGCAGACATTGAGTGGCACTTCCAGTTTGCTGATTGACGGCCCAACCGCAGCCAGGGGGAGTCATGGCCGACTTGGGCTCATGGCTCGCGGGAAGCTCTAGCGAGTGCGAGTGCGAATGCGAATGAACCTGAAATCTGATCCCAGAAAGCAGTTGAAAGTCGCATCGAATGGAGTCCACGGCATCGAAATTCATTTGGTCATGTGTCTGGGCAGTTCCTGGAGTCCGAGAAGACCCTGAATCGATCTAGGCAGAGCACATGCTTCCGCTTGTCTGGGGATTTCCCAGCTCTTTCCTTAACCCGGCCTAAATCCCCGTCGTTCGGGTTCCGTTCCTAATGTCTTCGGTGGTGTCAAAATGTGTTCCCAAATCACTCGAGGCCGCGGCTGTTTCCTGCCTGTTTCCCGGTCTGTTTACACTCGCTGCAGTCCAAGTTCATTGCGCTCATAAATAAAACTAAATGTTTTTCCTGCTAAACAGCGGGAGGGGGGCGCAGAGAGAGAGGGAGACTAGACGTCACGTGTTCCCCCAAAACAGGGTCTCTGCCGGGGGCCGGGGATCGGCTGGGAGTGTCTTGTGATTTCTTGTTAACCATCGGCCCCTAATCCGAAGCAGATGCGCGATAAGTCTTCAATCAGTCGTTGTAGCGGCTCCGCTGGAGAGTGCAATTGAGCCAGAAGCGGGTTAATTAAGAGTCCTGCCATTGTCCTGCCACGAGGAGGAGGCAAAAACCAATCAGCCGCGACAAAGGGGAAGAGCTTCAGCTGCAGTTTGGCATTGACCGAGGCATCTGCGATGGCCACCGCGGCGGCGGGGTCACTGACAATGGACTGACCCAGCCATCGGCCCCAAACAAAGCCGGCAAGAGGTCCAGCCATCATTGAGTGGCATCCATCGCGCGGCTCGTGCCATGCAATTCCTGCGCTAATCTAATCAAAACACTTCACACCAGACGGGTGACTGGAGACCCCAGAGTGCAGAATGCAGATCCCATGTCTAGGCCACACAATGGTAGCGGCAGATAGGGCCGCAGGGAGCCCCATGCCAGCGGCTTTATGTCCATTAATGAGATATCCCCCGCTACAATGAGCCGTCGTGTGCGACGACATTCAGCGCGGCACTTGTCAATGCCTATTCGCATTCGCAGTCGCATTCGCACTGCCGCTGGCCGCCTCAATTGCTGGCAATCAGCAATCAGCCATCAGTTATTATTTATCGCTTCGCCCGGCTACACCTGCCAGTGCCAGTGCTCCTCGTCCGGGGTGCTCCTCCAACTGGGCCTGCGCTGGACTCTCCGGCGAGAAAGTGCCATGAAGAAGCTGATAATACCCACGCTTATGGACACCTATGGCCTGATTAAGTTCTGGGATTTCGACACTGGCGCTCCGGCCCCGGCCACGGCCCCGTCCCCGGCTAATGTGTCGCCATCGGCCCGCGGAAGGCCGAACTTCGGTGTGCCCCCAGACGGCGATGCCATGCCCAGCGAGCGTCGCTACAAGTGGAGACATCGCCTTCTCCAGGTCAGCCGGCCCGTGTCCCCCCCTCCCCCCCACACCTTATCGAAAAAATTCAAGCGCTGACTCGTGAGTGTGTCCGTAGTGGTGTCTGATAAGTCGGCGGGTATTTTGGCCATGCTTTCGAGCCCAAGCCCGAGCCCACCGCCCCCCGCCCCCCGTCCAGGCCCAGGCCATATCAATTTGATTATCAAACGGAAAGCAAAACTCGATAAAAAACTGTATTCCAGTTAATGGAAGCAGTTCCTATTCCTCCTGCCTGATCCTCGAAGCAACAACAATAACAATATTTCGTCAGAGATACAGACATCGATAAGAGCAGGTCAGGGCAGGGCGGGGCAGGGCGGGGCAGGGCGGGGCGGGGCGCTCGGGTTCCACTGAAATTCCTGTGATATTACACACCGCCAGCCGCAGAGCAGCGATAGCTATGGCTGATATCATTGTTGCCATAATAAATACCCGTGCCAGCACGCGGGCATAAACAAAGCCGCGAGGCGAGCATTTTTGTGGTTTCGATCGAAGCTCCGGGCTCTAGTAACCATCCCGTTCTTCTCTCTCTTTGCAGTCGCAGCAGATGCGCGCCGTCTCGAGTCCCTCGCTCACAGAGCCCTATTCAGAGTCGCGAAAGCCGCCGGAGGAGGGCAGGGCAGCGGCGGACGGGGCTGCCAATGTGGCCACAAGCAGCAGCACCGGCAGCGGCAGCGGCAGCGGTGTGAGCGGTGTGGGCGGTGTGGGCCTAGGCGTCCTGCTTAAATTTAAGCGCACGTTTAACAACTTCAACAACAAGAACCAACTGCACATCACGCCCGTACCGGCAACGGCAACGACAGCAGCCGCCCCAAAGCCCAAGCTATCGCCAACGACGCCGACCGTGTCGATCACAACAGCGGCACCAGCGGCGGCGGGCGACGGCACTGGAGCGGACGGGGGCGATGGCAGCTCCGGCAAGTACCGCTTCGGACCCCTCATCTGGCGCACCTCGAAGGAGCGCCGCAAGACCAAGTTCAACCGACGCGACAAGTGCAACTCGGGCGACTCGGGCATCCAGATAGAGCTGGAGCAGGACGAGCAGTACTCCCGCGTGCTGGCGGTGAGTGCCCAGGGCGGGGGAGACGGAGGAGGAGAAGGAGGCGGCACGTCCGCTGGAACCGAAGGAGCTGGCAGCAAGCCGCGCACCATACGGCGCACCAACTCGGCCAAGGCGAGCAGCATCCTCGGCTCCTTCGCCCTGAGGTCCAAGCACCACATGCACCTGGACATCGGGGGCACTGAGAATGTCGAGCGTGAGGCGCCCGAGTCACTGCCCACACGATCGCTCAGCCAGCCCAACGGACTGGAAACCTACGGCATGGGCCGCCCGGAGATGGAGGACAGCGACAGCGACAGCGTGGCATCCCACGAGGAAGGTCTGTACACACTACCCTTTTCGACCAGAATTGATCCACTAATATTCTTATGGTGCTCCCCTTGATCCACAGCTGGCGGCTACCACTACCCGGCCATCTACGCGGAGGTGCTGTACAATTTCACGGCCGGAGGGCCGCAGGAGCTGGGCCTGGAGCGCGGCATGCTGATTGAAATACTGCGCAAGGAAGTGGGACCCTGGTGGTTCGGCCGCATCAAGAAGGAGGAGACCAGTCGCGTGGACGAGATCCTCGACCCCGAGCTGGGCTGGTTCCCGAAGGAGTTCGTGCGCATTATTCAGTGCCCCGAGACGGATGGCTTCTTCAACGCACACCGAGCGGCAGCCGCAACGGCCAGGGAGGACGGCGATGCCGTGCCAGTGCCCGTGGCCGAATTCGCCAAGGAGGCAGACGTCACCATGACCACGGATCAGAGCAACATCACCACCATAGTCATTGAGTCCCCGCCAATGCCCTCGAACGGGTATCCCACCCTGAACGCGCTGGACAGCGACAACAACGTCCTGCGCCGAAGTGCTGTGCGCGAGCTGCTGGAGACGGAGGTCAACTACGTCAAGCTGCTGGCTGCCATTTGCGACGGGTAAGTGGGCCTCGCTCTCGTGATAAGAACTACCCTAACACCCGGAACCCCGACCCGCCACAGGTATCTGCCGGCCATGAGCAAGCGCATCGACATATTCTCGCCGAACAGCATCCGCCTGATCTTCTCGAACATAGCGGCCATCTACAAGTTCCAGAAAAAGTTCCTCGAGGCGTTGCGCAGGGGAATCGAGCAGAACCAAATCGCGAAGGTGTTTCTGAAAATGGTGAGTGCTTGACTGCCATTTCCCCTCTCCAGAGCCATTGACTGATCAGTAATCCGCCCCCCCCAAACAGCACAAGGGATTCCTGTGCTACTCCAACTACTGCAACGCCTATCCCCGGGCCCTTATCGAGCTGGAGTCCTACGATCGTGTCAAGGATGCACGCACCATTCTGGAGAAGTGAGTTCAACCGGATAGTCGGATTTTATGTCAACAGCGTACTAACACTGAGTTTATCGCCCTTCCAGTTGCCGCGAGTCGGAGAACCTGGCCGAGCTGCCACTCTCCGCCCACCTGCTGGCTCCCGTGCAACGCATCTGCCGCTATCCCCTGCACCTCAGCGAGATTATCAAGCCGGCGCGTGCTTCTGCTGCCAAGACGGGCAGCAATGGCGAAAAAGCTGAGAAACCCTCGGCCCCTGACTACGAACAGCTCGACGTCAACGAGATGGACATACCCGACACGTACGAGACCGTAAACCTGGCGCTGGAGGCCATGCGCGGCATCACTGAGGCGGTCAATGAGGGCAAACGCCACAGCGAGACCATTGCGAGGCACCAGGCCAGCTTTCAGAACTTCAAGGGCCCGCCACTGCATCTGCACAGCGCACGCTTCTTCCTGCAGGTGGACGCCACACGCCAGAAGCAGAATCTGTGGAACAGCAGCTACACCCTGTTCCTGTTCGACAACCAGCTGGTCTATTGCAAGCGCGACATCATCAAACGCAGCCACTTCATTTACAAGGGGCGCATATTCCTCGACCGCTGTCGCGTGGTGAACGTACGGGATGGCAAGATGTTCGGGCACACGATCAAGAACTCGCTGCGGATCTACTGCGAGTCGCGGGACAAGTGGTACGACTTCAGCTTCCGCTCGGCGAACCGCAAGCACCGCTTCCTCAACACCCTCGCCCTCGAGCGGCAGTTCGGCGGCAAGGCCCTTTACGTATCGGAGATGACTGGCTTCGAGTACAACTACGAGGAGCGGCCGGGCGACTTTTCCGATCAGTCGGACTACGAGCTGCCCGACTTTGAGCACGCCATGTGCGGCGGCACATCGGCCAGTGGGGAGAGCTCCGTTCCGGAATCGCCGGCCAAGTCAGCCTCCCGGTTCTCCGATACTTTGCCGAAAAAATCGCAGTCCCGCGATGGCTTCGCCAGCGTGGACAACTCCCAGATGCTGTCGACGACATCGACGGGTTCGCTGGGACGACGCCGCATTGGCAACTGGTTCCGCAAGCCAAAGAGCACCAACTGCACGCCCAGCCAGTCGCCGACGCACAAGCCGGGCTTTGACGCCGATGAGACTCTGACAGCGGCCCGTGTGGCAGCCATCGAGCTGGCCGAGGCCGCCGCCTCGCTCTTGCCAACCGATAGTTCATCCGCCTAAGCACACAGAGAATATCAGAATACAGAACACAGAATATTATACATACATCCAGGCCTGTGCGAAGAAGGCGCATACTATTTGTTATGTTACATTATTGTTAATGTTAAATTGCCTCTACCAATTGAAAAAAGTAAACAAAACTAACGAGTGTTACAGTATATTTTAGAATTTTTTTTTCCATTTTTTTTTTTTTTTAATCTTTTGTCGTTTGAGGATTTCTAGACGGCAAATCGATAAACGTGGTAATAAGTTATGTATTTAGATTTTTAGATTTACCAAAAACAAAACAAAACAAAAATAATGTATACTTGTGGCATTTGAAGGCAGCTTTCGATAAAAGTGCCAGATGCTGGTGTCGCCGACTGCTAGTCTAAAAACCCTATTACCTATTACCTACTACCTGTCCGTATAATCCTAATTTATGTGATAAGGCGATAATAAATTCCTGCAAATTACACCATTATTGTATGCTTTAAAGCCCTCTGTTTGTGTATTCAAGTTCGCTTAGAGACCCCCCACCCCCCCCAGAAGACCCCACTCCGAGCTGAATAGAAAACTACCCACAGAAATACCCGATACTAAGATGCGTTTCGGAAACGTGCTCGCAACTAGAGAACATTTTAACTGAAGGGAAGGTGTTTTTAAGAATATGGCATCAAAAATACATACATATATACGAACCTTGGCATTTGTTAGTGTTTCCAGTATTTCCACCTGCGAAATTTGAGTAGAAAAATCCAAAATAAATAAAAGAAAAATAAAAAATAAACATATTAATACAACAACAAAAATAAAATAGCGAACTGTGTGCAAAAGGAATGCAAACGAATAAATATTGTATTATATGGAAATTGGTTGATCAGATTGTCAATTTGAACACAAAACTCAACAATGTTAGAATATGTTTAAACAAAAAAACAACTAAAACAACACAAGCAAACTGCAACAAAACAATTGAGCGAATTTAATTTTTTTTAAAGAGACACGTATCGTAATATATTGTATTGTATTGTATTATCCCCTTAGTAATTATGTAACCTAACGTCGAACAATTGTCAAGAATTAGTTGAAAGTTTAATGTTTAATGACGGTCTGTATAAGTTAATCAAAAATTATAAATTCAATAAGCAATTGACTATTTAATAGATATTGCAGAGAGAAATATTGGTTGAACTCTGCAAAACGAAACGCCAAAACGTTAACTAAAAAACACTATACCAAACCATATACAACATTTTAGTCCTGAATATACATAAAAACATACAATACATATACATATACATACATATATACAAGTGAAACTTTGCAAGGTGCGTGCGAAAAGAAATGGCATTCATTTATCTTTTTATTTTTATTTTACCCACAAATAAACTATTTTCAAAGTGAAATTCCACTCCAGCCATCGAGGAAACAAATTATGGATAATTTTACGGTTACTTTCCAAAGATGGACGCCGCTGCGACTGCGACCGCGACCGCGACAGCGACACAGGTTGCGTTGCAATGAAATCAACAAGTGGGCTATTTGTTTACTATTCCGACGCACCTTGCATGTTCCATTTCGTTAAGTTTGAATCATAAATGCATGATAATAAATATATTTAAAAGTATACATACATAAATACGCAGAAACGTTTTGAGAATTTCAATTGTACATACAATACATGCAAAAATTGGCAACGGTAAATGTGGTATGTACTTGGTATTGACTGAGCAATTTATATTATAAAGAACCTACACGTTTCAAAAACATAACGAACAACACACTCGTAACTTTAACCAGAAAGAACACAGCCCGTATACATTAGCAACCTAATATGCTCCATATGCCAAATAAATAACATATATTTATCCAAAACAATTAAACGACCATTTTTCACTTTACTTCATTTTCCGTTAGGTTTCCGGCATGGCATGGCCAGTATACAGTATCGATAAGGAGCGCATTTCAGCACTGTGCGATATAACAATGTTTTTTCCCCCCATCGATATATCGTTAAAGAGAAACGAGTCAACTTAAGTCGGATTTAAAGGTCTTGACAACCAAGGAACCGCCAATCACGAAATAAAAGTTCAATAATAATGATTTGTATAATTTTTGGCGGAAAATATACCTCTTTAGAAAAAAATGCAGTGCAGATTATATCATTATGATGATCAATTCTTGGAGCAGCGCATGTAGATCGGGGTATACAGATCCGCTCCAATACTGGAAGTGCAATAGCATTGAATTTGATTCATTTTGCACCACTTTTAAACAAACAAACAATTTTAAAAATATTCGACAATGCCATCTGATAGTTCGATAATGTAATTTGCAGCCCTGTGTTCAACACTCACAAATCAGTACGAAAACCGACCGACAGATGTCGCTTGCGGCATCCACAAATAAAAGAGCCTCTGTGATTGGCTGACTGTACACCTCTCAAGTGGACTATGTTAGGTAAAAGATATTCGCTCGCGGTTTGTTGAAAGACGGTCTAAAATTGTACAATATATTGTGTTAAATATAATCAATAATATGCCCAAAATGCGGGGTAATGTGTGCATTAAATTTTCATGTTTTTTGTGTCAGATTTATCGACGCTAGTAGGAATTAACAAAATTTTCACATTTTATAAATGGCGGACAATGTGCGTTGGCTTCATTTCCTCGCGCACACACACAAGCTCATTTGGTGGTGCTGCCGTTCAGTGCGTGTGCAGTCCATATTATAAATTGAGAATGTGTTTGCATACACACGTACTTATAATATATTAAGCCTAGTCAAACATCCTGAACGAATGAATGTGTATATATTTTGGCGGGTGTTATTAAACGTTCGTTTCGTCAAATATAAAACCATGTGTGGAACGCGTAAACAAAGTGAAATGAATCAAAAAGTATTGCTGCTCTGAAGCTGATCGATTTTTCTCGTATATCCAATTGAATAGCTGTGTGTGTTTGGCAGTGTTCGTAGACGGATGGTTGCGAGTGATAAATGTACACAATACATCGGAAGCAATTTGTATTAAATAATTTTTTTGTTCTCATTATAGATCTAATGTGCAATTCCTCCGCGAAAAAACGGAACTATATCTGAGCGAAACGCAGAAGCACCTACAGCAAAGACAGTCGTAGTAAGATTGTGTGTATTGGATAGCCCTAGCCTAGCCAGGCAGCCAGGCAAAGGAAAACCACACAAAAATGAGCGGTCGCGGTAGCCGTAAGCGCGGTCGACCGCCAAAGACGCCAAATGAGCGGACTTCTTCTGGACGCTTCAGTTATCAATTGCTCAAAAAGCCGAAATATCTCAGCGAAGGAAAATCGCAGGCAAGCACACCGTCCGCTTCGCGCGGCATTTCCCCGCAAAGCGACGAGTGCAGTCGCAGCAGCCATAACAATCACAGCCGTGGGAACCGTGGCAGTGCCGCCAAGAGAGGACGCGGCCGCAAGTCGAACGTGCAACCCAACACCAGCAACTACTCCGGAAGAAAAGGTGAGTTATCAATTTATGAAATTGTATCAGGAGGCTAGTCTCAGTAGGCTTAATAGTGTTGCCACAGTATCAGAATCAAGTACACATTGCATTTCAAAAGTTTGAAAGTGTCAAATCAAATTTGACATCACATCTGCTGGAAATTTATTAGTATCATTTGCCATTTGAAAGCCGAGTCACAATCAAGTGAAATAAAAGTAGAAGAAAAAACTGAAATAATAGTGAAAAAAAAACAAAAAAACGAAAGAAATAAAACCTGAAATAACAAGCAAAACCAAAAATGTTCAAATTTCGCAAAAGCGATCGCTTCAAAGGTAAATGCCTGGCAAATAACGTTCTCTAATTTCCCTACCTCGTTTCGTTTCTGCCGTCTATACAGGGTACGAGTCGGAATACCACTACGGATCGGACTTCGGAGACTCCGATGAGGATAAAACCGATAACGAGGATGACCTATTGCTAACGCCCAGCGATGACGAAAGCTTGGATGCGGGCAACGAGAGTGAGTCGGAATTTTCCGTGTGCAGCTTCACCCAGAATGGAGTGGGTCGGCCGCCACGTCCGCCCAGTCCGGAGCCCATCTGGCTGCAAGAGGGACGGAAGTATGCCGCCCTGGATTTGCCGGACTCATCGGAGGACTTGTCCATGGCCAACGCACACGTTTTGCGCGCCCTCAGCATCTACGAAGTGCTGCGACGTTTCCGGCACTTGGTTCGTCTCTCGCCGTTTCGCTTTGAAGACTTCTGTGCGGCCTTAACTTGCGACGAGCAGAGTGCTCTCTTGTCGGATGTACACATAATGCTGCTGAAGGCGATCCTGCGCGAAGAGGACGTCCAGGGCACACACTTTGGGCCGCTGGATCAAAAGGATACGGTCAACATTAGTCTGTACCTCATCGATGCCATCACCTGGCCGGAAGTTCTGCGCAGCTATGTGGAGAGCGACAAGACATTTGATCGTGAGGTCTATCATATCCTGAGCCGATCAGAATATCCATACACCGGCATTGAAAACCGTCTGGCCGTGCTGCAGTTCTTGGCGGATCAGTTCTTGACAGCCAATTCCATACGCGACGTAATGCTCCAGGAGGGACCCATTCACTACGACGACCATTGCCGAGTCTGCCATCGACTTGGAGACTTGCTCTGCTGTGAAACCTGCCCAGCAGTCTACCACTTGGAATGTGTGGATCCGCCAATGAACGATGTGCCCACTGAGGACTGGCAGTGCGGATTGTGTCGCTCGCACAAGGTCAGTGGCGTCATTGACTGCGTGTTGCCCCAAGAGAAGCAGGGCGTATTAATCAGGCACGACAGCCTGGGAGTCGATCGCCACGGCCGCAGATATTGGTTCATTGCCCGGCGAATTTTCGTCGAGGATCAAGTGGACTCCAGCTGTTGGTACTACAGTACAACGAATAAGTTGAAGCTACTGCTCAAACGATTGGATCCTGAAGAACTGGAGACGCGCCTGCACGCCCAGCTAACGGAGCGCCGCGAGGAGATCGAGCGCCAGATGAAGTTGACAGAGTCGCTCACCAACGAAAATAAGCACACCAAGCGCAGTTTGATAGACATGGAGCAAGAGGCTACGAAGGAACTACTAGACAAGGAGACCCTGGACGGTACGGCCGAAGCCGAGTCCGACCGCAAATCCGACGACCAGTCGGCAGAGGCAGCGAAAAGGTCGGAGGAGACCAAAATGGTCACGCGCCAGAAGACCAGCCAACTGAACAACGGCACGCTTTACTTTAAGCTCGGCATGGAACAAGGATTCAAGAACTACGTCAACCAGTACGCCTCGAATCCCATAGCCCTCAACAAGCCGCAGCGCAACGAGGAGCGGGACAAGCGACGTCACCTCTCGCACAAGTTTTCTCTGACAACAGCCTCCGACTTCAAATGGATCGGCATCACGATGGGCACACCCGATAACATGATTACAACGCTCAGGCAGACGCTGATTAATTTTGAATCGAACATAACGCCGCCGTTCCTGAACCCGAACTGGCAGGTCAACAAGAAGGTCTGGAACACGGCCGTCATGAACGCCCGACACGCCACTGACTTTGCGACTGTGCTGCTGCTGTTTCAATCGTCGCTAAAGAGTGTGGTCTTCGCGAACGTTTGGCACGAACAGCTCGGCCACAGAGCCTTGCAGCGCATCACCAGCGCCGAGCGCGAAGAGCGCAAGAAGCTGGAGAAGCGCGAGAAACGGGAGCGCGACGACGAGGAGGAACGCAATCGACTGGCATTTAACTACATCAAGTATTCCCTGGGACTGAAGCACCAGGTGTGGAAGCAGAAGGGAGAGGAGTATCGTGTGCACGGCCAGTGGGGCTGGCTGTGGCTCTCGAGCAGTCGACGCTGCGGAATTCGCGCCAGACGGGCCCATCCCCGAGCACACAACAGAGTTTTCGTCCACTACACCATGGGAGACGAGAACGACGTCAACGAGATTGTCCTGGTCGATCCACGCACGAAGCGGTTCATGCAGCAGTGCGAGTCGAACAGTGTCGACGGCCAGATGTGCCCCTATCTGCCGGAGGAGTACACGAACGTGAAAGTGGTCGAGGATGTTGACAAGCTGGCGAGCGTCAAGGGCATCATCGACGTCAGCAAAGCCCTGAACGACCCGGGACGTGTCTACTACCCGAAGCTTGCTCGCAAATGCTGGATCGACGACCTATTGGAGCGACGCAAGAAATTGGCCAAGGTCGAGGAGCAGCTCGCCTTGAAGGGAGTCACCGACGTGAAGCCCTTCGCCATACCATCGTCGGGCAGTGCGGCAGCCGCCGGCAAGCAGACCTACTTGGAAAAGTGCCTGCTGCGTCTCACGGAAGTGTCGGCAAAGGGAGGGTCGGCCAACGTCAATTTTGAGCTCGTCAACTCGCTGGCCAAGCAGATCCAGACGGTGCGCCTGCAGTTCAGCCAGCTCAACCGCTTCGCCAAGACCTTCCGCTGCTACACCAAGGAGTGCAACACCAACTCGAACGCCGTATCTCAAATCACACAAAACACGTGCTACTCGCCGCTGTGTCTGCAGAAGGCCCGTGCCAAGAAGGAACTTCTGCTGCTGCTGCGGAAGGCGCACACCGCGGGCAACGGCTCCAAGGAGACGGTGGCCGCCATCCTGGGTGCCGTCAAGAAGCCCTCTATTCTCGAACAGAAGCTGACCGAAGGCAAGCGGGAAGCCACTCAGCTTTCAGTCGACGAGTCGGATGATGCAAAGGCGGCGGAAACCGAAGCGCCGCTGGACCTGCTCCAAGACTGGGAGCAGGCTCGCGCGCACTCTGTGGCCTTCACTGAGCAGCTTTTGAGCGACTGCCTGCTGGTGGAGCCAGATCTTCCCAACAATGCCAGGGTCAAGAAGGAGGAGGAGATGGTCCCCGGAAGCAGCACGAACGCCGACTCCAGCACGCAAGACTCGGACAAAATGGACTTCATCGAAAGCATGGACGTTTGCAGCAACGTGGAGATCGAGAGCACTGAGGATTCGATTGTTACGGCGATAAACACCTCGTGCTTGGACGCCAGCGCCGAGGACGTAGACATGCGCCCCGGATCGCGTCGAAAACGTTTCCAAAAGTCGAAGAAGGCCTACATCGGAACCAAGGACGTGTTGGATCACACGCTGGACAAGGAGATACCACTCAAGCAGAATCGCCGTTTTCGCATCAGCTCTCGTCCGGTCAAGCGCGACTGCTGCACGAAATACGAGCGGGAGTACTTCGAGAACGGAAAGGAGCGCGTCTACAGCGCTGTCTCGCCGCGTGGGCGTGTCTATCTGATCAACGACTGGTCCAAGCTGTACGACCAGGCCGTTAAGAGCGAGGACAAGACCACGGTCATGAAGAAGGCCACGTACGCCAGGTACCCTCTCATCTCCAACTTCCTTACGCACAAAAAGAAGCGCAGCCTGTTGGTTCTGCCGCGCTACGAGCTCCGAAAGCTGGCGCGTCTGGGCGGACGATCGGCCACGAATGGCTTCCACCACGGGGCCAAGAACAACTCCATTTGGCAGTATCAGTGCTCGCGTCCGCTCTTCCGAACCTGCTGGTCCTACCGCACGTGCAACGCCACCACGCTGTCCTGCATTGCCCTCCAGCTGCGGATATTGTGGTCCTGTCTGCGCTGGGACGACATGATAGCCAAGCCGCCGTCTACCGATGGCAAACATCAGGTGACAACCGAGACGGAAATTGTCACCCTGGAGCTGTTGAAGCTGCGCCATGCAGGCCGCTACGGCGAGAAAACCAGCTACTTGCGGCGCAAAGTTGTGATCCCTCTGGAGATGCCAAAGACGATTAGAGGTGAGTAATTGGCAGGGCATCCATCCCCTTTGTTTGCTTATCCACTGTATATTCTGGGTCTTCTCACAGAGGTCACGTCGATACGGTCTGGTCTGCGCAAACGGAAGCGCGCTGAATCTCCGCAGCCAACCGAGCCGCAAATAAGCGAGGAGTGGGTCGAGGAGGACAAGCTCGAGCTGTGGGAAATCAAATTCATAGGCGAGAAACAGGAAAAGGCCCGCCTGTCCACAGTGACGCGTTCTGTGGCATCGCGGCAGCTGGAGTCGACCGGCGGCGGTAGTCCGGGCACATCCACCAACGGAACGCTGGTCGGTGCCGGTCGTGTCCAGCTGGCCCCGAAGCCCAACGAAGACGTTAAGGAGAAAATGGAACAGCAGTTGAAGCTACAAAGAGCCGCGCATCAGCAACGGAAGGTCATCGCCACAGGCGAGCTAGCCAGGGCCGGAACTCCAGGTAAGTCACGGGCCTGGGACTTGCGATAGCATATGCTTGATGGAATTCCCCTTTTTGCAGTCAAAGGCCAGATAATTGGCAGCAGGCGCGTAATCGTTAAGAATCCAGATGGCACCACGCGAATCATCCAGCAGGCAGTCACACAAGTGGCCCGAGCGGCCCCAGCGAACGCGTCGTCAGCCGCCGCTTCCCACTCAGCGCAGAGCACATCCAACACACAGAGCACGCAGTCGGCACCCACCCCGCACAAGGTACAAATCATCCGTGGCCCGGATGGCAAGGTGAGCGTGAGGGGACTGAACCCTGGACAGCAGCTGGTGCAAATGCCGGACGGAAAGCTGCACGTGTTGACAACTTCATCGAGTCCGGCGACCCAAGGTGAGTGGCTCGGTTTGCAGTGGAATGCAGGACAGGAAGTGGCACTAAATCGCATTTGTTTTTACTTTTACAGGATGCAAAGGCAAGGTATTACCCATCAAATCTCTACCCACACAATCGTCCACAGCCGCAACGTCCACGTCGGCCGCTGCAACACTAGCGGCACCCGCAGTCAAACAAATGGCCGTGAAACATGTCGCAAAGCCTACCGGGGCCCAGTCAATAGCGTCACAGCGGGTTGCCCTACCTCTCGCACAGATAAAGAACAAAATGCTGATGGCCCAGCAGCAACAGGTGTCGGCAGCAGCAGCAGCGGCAGCCACATCGGCGCCCCCAGTGCAGAAAATTGTGACGAAAGTCGTCAACTCGAGTGCCGCCGGACAGAATATGCAGCAAGTATTCGTGCAACCTGGCTCCAAGCTGGTAGTTGGTCAGAACGCTCAGGGACAAAAGGTTATCATATCCGCCTCGTCCACACAAGCGGCCACATCGGCAGTGCAACAGCAGCAGCAAATTGTACAGACTCAAGCCCTGCCACAGCAAATCCAACAGGCCCCCCCACAGCAGCAATCGCAGCAAATGGCGATCAACCAGGTGGGGAGTCAACCAACACAGAAAGTAATACAGCAAATCGTTAACACAAGTAATGTCCAACAACAGATAGTGATAGGGGGGCAGCGCATCATTTTGAGCCCCGGTCAGACTATTGTTACGCAGCGAAATGTGCCGCAAAGCCAGGCCCTGCAAATGGTCCAGCAACAGATTCAAACCCAGCAGCAGCAGCAGCAACAGCAACAGCAGCAGCAGCAGCAACAACAGCACCAGCAGCAGCAGCAGCAACAGCACATTGTGCAGCCACAGCAGCAATATGTTGTGCAAACGAATCAGGTTGTTCAATCGTCGACCACGACTCAGACAAAATTAGTTAAACAGCTCGTGGTGCAACAGCAAGCCCCACCGCCAGCAGTGGAGGAAAAAGCCCCGATCAACGCCGCCAATGAGGCCACTGAAACGGCCACCCAGCAAGTGCTCGTACCGAACTCGACCCTGGCACAACAGCTGGCCCAGGGCAAGCTGCAGGTGGCCACTGTCAATGGACAGCAAGTGATCGTGAAGCCCCTGGGGAACAACCAGGCCCAGATTGTGGCACACATTAAGCACCAGGGGGACGGTAACGCGCACATTGTCACCAACAACACGGCACCAGCAGTGCCCCAGGAAAGTCCGCAGAGCTCGCCGGTGAAACACTCGCAGCAGCAGGCTCTGGCGTCGCACAGCCCACAACAACAACAACAGCAGGTTGTTGTCCAGCAACAGCAGATTGCACAGCAGTGCAGCTACGATACTGCCGCCGCCTCCATACCACAGCAGCATGTGGCGACAGGAGCTGTCCAGCCACAAGGACAGACACCACAGCAACAGCAGCAGCCGCAGCAACCCATGAGCGTGGAAGAGAGTCTTCTTCAGAATCAGCCGCCCGGCACGGTCATCAAATGCGTTACGGCACAAGTACTGCAAACCGAGCACGGGCCACGCATCGTGCTGCAGGGCCTGGTAGGCAACGACTTTACGGCCCAGCAGCTGCAGCTGGTGCAGACGCAGGTGAAGCAACAGCTAATGAAAGGTCAGTGACACTGCTGCTCTCCCCTCTGTTGGCTCCTCTCTGTAAACGTTCTCTATGCTTTCCAGCCCAAGAATCTAACGGCAAGCTGGGAGTCCTGGGGCCAACTAAAATCTACCTGGCCGTGCAGCCGGAGACCACGGCTCAATCGCAACCACCTCCCCTTACCCCAGTACACCAGTCGACTACACATCAACAAGTGAGTAGTTTCTAATTACAAAACTAATTCGAAATGGGGAAGAACACAAGAGCAAAGAAAACTAAAGAAGAGAACAGAATAGAGCAGGACTTTAGAGGGTGCATATGCTGCCTCAAAGAATGCCAGTTGAGCGGCTTTTCTACATCGTATTTAAGTTATTTTTAATTTTGTTCAAGACCAGAGAGGCATGTTGCTGCTTTCCTTGCATTTTTTATACGTTTTTGTTCGAAATCTTTTAATTTGTTTGGTTTTTTTTTTTTTTTTTGATTTGATTTGATTTGAAACTTTGGCGCCGCCCAGCAAAAAAGTATTCTATTTCTTGAAATTGAATTGAATTGAATTGACTTTTTCGTTTCCTATTGTGTATACATACATTCCTAAGCATTTAACAATATAAGTCTGTCATTTATCTGCTTTGTATTTGCCTAAGTACAGCGACAAAGACTTTCGTTAAATACCAACAAAGGCTTCATTTTGCAACATAGTTATTCGCCAACCAATTCTCCAGAAGAGAATCTACAGATACCGCACTCTCGACACAGAAAAGAGAGAGCTACTTTATATATTATTTAGTAACCTAATTGACTTATTTATTTGATTTATTTAAGAATATCTATCGAACATGTATTTAGCTTAATATTTGTGAATACGTTACGTTACTAGTCTTAAGCAACCTATTAGCTAGCTAGCGAGTAGCGTCAACTCTGAGGAAGCAACAGCACACACACACAACAAATTTTGTAAGAAACTATTCAGACTGTCGCCCGATGTTTTCGCCCACGGCAAAAGTATTAGACACAACGCAACGCAACTGCGACTCGACTCGATTCGAATCGATTTTCTTGCCTGGGAGACATTTGGTTTCTAAAAATACAACATAAACATATGTATGTTACTTGTAAAATGTAAAGCGCCTTTTGCAATAAAACCTATTATGCAAACCAATACGATTGTGACCAGCTCTGTTTTTTTTAGTCCACTAAAAGCCCAGCCAATGCTATGTGAGCTTATACCCTTTTCGGTGATTTCGATATCGATTCAGAATACAAAGAGCTTGCTTACACGTTCAATCGATGCTTTTAAAAGAACAACAATGTATACACGTCTACAACAACAACTCCCCAAATACTATTGAAAGCAAGAAAGAATGCAAGACTGAAAGGAATAACCAATAACGAATACACTTTCGGCTCCAGGCTAGAGGGGCTCCAGGCTCCAGACTCCAGGCTCCAAGCTCCAAGCGGCAGCACTCATTGCAAGAGCTATGTAGGTCTTTCAGTTTGTAAACGATTCCCGCCATTGTATTGTATATAACATAGTATGTATTGTAAAATAAATGGATGCAAAACCTGCCAACGCTTTCTTGCTTTGAATACTTTCAACCCATTGTTTAAACTCGCACACGGAAGCGGAATCGGAATCCGAATCGGAAGAGCCGTAGTCTATTTCGCGTGCAGTAATGCTGTAATATCTAGTAAAGTAGTGAATACGATTCTCCCCAATATCCCCAATATCCTTTTAACACACAAAAGTTGAGACATTTGTGAATTTTTGTTTCTGAATTAGTTGGATGATTATTTGCAAATTGGCCTTTGTGTTGACAAAAAGCGCATGCTTCATGTATTTACGGGTGTATGAAGAGAAAATAAACCACAACAATAACAACAACCTGTAAATCAGTGCAAGAAAAGCAACAACAGACATTTAACAGAACATGAATATAATACAGAAATCAGAGATCAGAGATCAGAAAATATCAGAAATCAGAAATCAGTTGAAACTTAAGGATCGCAACAAATTATTTGACATCACTCTATTATTTCAATGGCCAAATTAAAATTCCATTCAAATTAAAATACAAACAGTATACAATTTGCTGAATTGCTGAATTGCTGAAGAGATTAACCCTATACACAGAGTTTTAGTTGGCTGACATATTTAAAATAATTATAATCAGAGGCACGATTCGTCTCCTAAAAATTAAAAAAAAAAACAACAACAAAAAAACAATGGCAAAAACAAAAATACTACCGTTCCTTATAAGCGCATGAGCTATCGTCGCGTTTGAGCTAGTTTTCTTATGATATCCTTCGAAATGAACACAAAGGCTTAACCATATCTATAATCATCTCATCTAAATCGAAACGAAATTTGTACACTTGTCCAAACGAAAACATTAACACGTCAAATGTATACACAATATACACAACAATACTAACTGCCATATCTGCCATATCCATGAACAAACAACCGAACATAGAATATTAGACCTTTGCCACGATTTTCATTATAATTTTAAACCAAACCAGACCAGACGAAAACCAGACCAGACCAAACTTAAATACAATACTATCCTCCTATCTTTGTAATAAAACAAAATTTCAATACCCTCAAAATATAAAAATCATGCTTCCACTGCTTTATAAAAAACGTTTATAACCATGCCTTAATGTCGCGTGTCAACAACTACAACTCCTAACCACGTGTTAATCTCTTCGCCAACCACAACTACTCAACTACTCAACTTTAATAACAAACATTAAAAGGTTGCCTGGAATAAGTACTACAACTGATCTCTGATTAAAGCCAGGTAGGTGTCCGTCAACACATTTTGAATATACATTTTGAACATATATTTGTAGCAATAATGCCCATGCATAAGCAAGCTATAAACGAGATTTTTTATTGTTGTATTGAATAATTACTTCGAATTTTGGTAACAATTAGGTTGGTGGCGGCATGCTAAATATTTGTTTATTGAATATGAATTTAATATCTGAAGAAGACGATGGCGATGGCGATAGCGATGGCGATGGCGATGACGATGACGATGAAATAATCGTCGTCTGCAGTCCACAGCAAGAAAGGCCGAACCGAGAAGAGACTCAAGATAGCAAACCGCATTTCCGTGATTGCTCGCCGAGCCACACCAACAGTAGTTGTATGCCAATTCAGCAAGCAAATCAATTAAACATTCAAAATCTAGTTCTAGTTGAAGATCAAGACAATAATGAACAGGATCGCTTGAAAAAATATCAAAGTGAAGACCTTACACGATGTTCATTGCAGCCCAACATCGACAACGACACCACCGGGCCAACAACAACACCAACAACAACCACAACCACAACCCCAACCACATTTGAAGCCAGCCCAATCATTATAAATAAAGCCGTAGACACTGGAAGCGAGCAGGAGCCGGCCGGCCCATGTGCCCAGGCCGATAAAACTAATATTAAAATTAACACGCCACCCCTTGGTGCCTCTGCGCTGCTAGAGGGCATAGAGCACGACGAAAAATCAATCCACATTAGTAACACAACCATGGACAAGGGCGGAGAGGAGAACCAAAGTGAAAGCTTTGTCATCACCAGCGGTTACATACAAGAGTGTGAGTATTCCATCACCAATAAATACGCTTTACGTACCCATGACGATGATTCCCCCCCTTTCAGCCATTACAAACGCACTTAAGCAGGGCAATCTGAGTCCGGAACTAGAAGAGAAGTTGGTCAATATGCGCAAGCAGCAGGAACAACCGAATGCTGCACACAGCTTGAATGACGGGGATTTGTCGTCTAGCGAGGACACAGGCACTTTAAATCGCCGCAGCACGCTATCGCGCCAGCAAAATAGCGATGATCTTGATTGGAAAACTAGGACCGCAACGAAACGTCCAAACGCTATGACAACAAGCAGTCAATTTAATCGTATTCTTAAAAAAAGCCGTATTCAGAAAGAAGATATAGTAGACATCAGTGAACAGAAACAATCCAAGTTAGAAAAGCACAAAGAATTGCTTAAGAAAAGCATCCTTCGTAAGCGATCATTATTAGAACGCAACTTACAAAACGAAATACGCGAAGAAGTACAGAAGAAAGTCCAGCGCCATGTGCGATCCTTAAGTGTCGCCTCACCAGAAGAGCATAGCGAAAACGAAAGAGGATCCATATTTTCCGATCGTCGCGATGAGCAAAATATTGAACAGAAGCGGTAAGTAGCGGTAGGACTGTTTAGTCATTGGCAACAATCATTGCTCATTTGCTGTTTTCTCAGGTGTGTCAAGGTCAGCACCAGTCGAAATCTCCGGGAGGAAGCCCTTGCAGACAACAGCAGACATGGCGTCGGAAGGCCTAAGAAGTTGACAAGGAAAAAGGAAAAGCTATATTGCGTTTGTCGCACACCTTACGATGAAACAAAGTATGTCCAAATCCATATCAAAATTGTATCAAAATAATCATTTGTGCGTGCTTTTTTCCACTCAGATTTTATGTGGGCTGTGACCTGTGCAGCAATTGGTTTCATGGCGATTGTGTTAACATCACCGAAGAAGCTTCGAAGAAACTTTCTGAATTCATTTGCATTGATTGCAAGAAGGCACGCGAAACAGAGGAACTCTTTTGCAGTTGTCGCCAACCATACGATGATTCACAATTTTATATTTGCTGCGATAAATGCCAGGGTTGGTTCCACGGCCGTTGTGTCGGTATACTACAGAGCGAGGCTGAGTTTATAGACGAGTACGTATGCCCCGAGTGTCAGCGGAAGACAGATGCAAACGCAGTCAATATGAAAACCCTTACGTCCGATGAAACTAACGAGCTAAAGGAGTTAATTAAGCAAATACAGGTAATAAAATAAATAAATACAAAAAATATTCAGCCATGCTTCAGTTTATGAAAAATTTTGCGATTTTGGACAAATTCGAATTCGTACGAATTGAAATTCGTGTGCTCCAGTTTTCCCAACTTGTTGCCATCGATAGTGTTTAATTCCCAAATTTGTTCGGCAATCTCTCTTTATATGAAACTAAAACGAGCGGTAGCGTTGTGACCCGCGGCAAGGGTCGCAGCTGTACTTGCATATGCTTATGTTTTATGTAACCTATAAAATATTTGTCTACCCGATACCCGAAGAGAATAGGGGGGTATATTCGATTTTTGGTGGAAGTATATTATATTAATTATATACCTATTGATCAGAATCAATCAGTCCCGATGAGCTCCAAGATCTTGGAGACTACAAGAGCTAGAGCAACCAAATTTTGTATATGGACTTCGGCTATAACCCATACAATATATTTGTTTGCGGTAGCGCCAGAATTGTTTCTCTGTCTTTTTGTGTCGCTGTTTGTAAAAGGGACGAATTGATATCTTTGGGGGATCTATTCGCGCACTTTGCTATCACTTATATGAAAGAGATGGAGAAAACCTAGACAGAAACGTAACCACGACCGCTGATGTTAATTCTTGCACCATGTTTATTATCTTTCCACCTAATGACCTATTCGATCAGAATTATAGAATATTTTCTGTTTTACATCCGTCTCTCTCTCTACTCACACCAACATCGCCGGCTTATATCGTTGGCCTACGACAGAGGGCGAACACTGCACTATTTAGAGTGAGATAGAGAGAAATAGAGAATGAGTAAGGCAAGTGGAAGAGGTAGCGTAGCTACAGCTACGTAGCTAATTTCATTCGGATTCGGATATCTTATAGATATTTTCATTCTCAATGATTCTGGGTTTTTCGGGCACAGATTTTCGTCCTTTGTTGGGTCGGATGGGCATTCCGAAATTGTGAAACAAACTTGACACAGTGTGATATCACGGGAGTCTGCACACCAAATTTGTGTGCTCTAGCTCTTGTAGCCCCTGAGAACTAGGCGTCAAACAAGACGGACAGACAGACATGGCTATATCGACTCGGTTATTGATCATGAATGGGTGTCGAGATTTACGAAGATAAATTTCCAATTATGTAAATATACGCTTAAAATATCGGCAAATACTTTTATATTTTTTCCCGCTCATAAATATTTGTATTTATGGGCTATTCATTTTTGAGATTGCAAGATCTGCGAAAATCCGAGCAGGCACTTTTGCGATTGCAATAACTAAAGCATGGCTGAATACGAATATATGGACATTCAATTGGTATACATAACACAAAATATATAATTTATTTGACAGCTGCACAAGAGTGCTTGGCCGTTTATGGAGCCGGTTGATCCGGATGAAGCGCCAGACTATTACAAAGTAATTAAAGAACCAATGGGTAAGTTGAAAACAAATTAATATGTTGCATGACAACACTACTACGACGATACTTTTACCCGCAGATCTCAAACGGATGGAAACCAAACTCGAATCAAAAGCGTACACCAAACTCGCCGACTTCATTGGCGATATGACAAAAATTTTCGACAACTGCCGCTACTACAACCCAAAAGAATCGTCCTTTTACAAATGTGCTGAAGCACTGGAATCGTACTTTGTGCAAAAACTTAAATGCTTTCGCGAAAATGTTTTTGGCCAGAGTAATTAAAAGCATTAGCTAAGCTATTAAATCTTAAGTTAAGCCAGTTTTGATACGAATGAAGTATCTAATCTTTTGCAACCATAAACATTTAACACGTGCGTTTGTTATACCATACATTTTTCATACCATAACAGAACTAACTAAAATTACAAATTACAAAATACAAAAAATATGTATGTAAATACTATTCATCATGTAAACACATATAACTATTGTATGAAATATAACTGCAGAGCCGTGTAATATACAGAAATAAATATTCAAATAGATATCATAATTAGGTAAGAAGAAATCATAGTAATATGCGGGGAACCCAACCGCTCAATTATATCCTTTTGTACATATAATGCAGCTGTAAATAAATAACGTATGCATTTTTTTATATTGATCTGATTGACATACCGTAGACTTAAAAATCGTATGCTAAGTTGTAAAAATACATGCTTATTCCTAATAATAAATTCTGAATTTTTCTGAATTTGATTACGTAGCATAATCAAACAAATCATAAGACTCCTTCTGTCTCCACAGCAAGTTTTCCTGTTTTGTTAAGGAATAAAGGAAGAGGAATAAATGTATCGTGTGGCATAGGGAATCGCTCCGTCGGCATTCGTCTGGTGGTTTTGTTTTTCTCACCGATAGCCTGTACGCCTAGCTGGAGTGGGAGGTATTCGTGAAGCAAGGCCTCGTCGGGATATCCCGCAGCAGAGTGCCTCGTTCCCTGTCTTCACTCGTGCGCTCAGGACAGATTGGCATTTTTGGTGCCTTCTACGAAACCCCACTACTGTCTTGCACTGGCTTCAACGGCACTAATACTGCCTTGTGCTAGATTGAACGCCAGACAAATGAATACACAAACTCCTTTCATCGATCCCATCTTCCGAAGGGACTTCCTGTCCCGTCTCTATGTGGACTATGTGATTTTCTACAATCGTCGGCTCCTCAAGAAGTTGTTTCCGAGATTCTTGGCATTGAATGGGACTGGTCTACTGCCTCAGAGTCCTCAGTCGGAGGACTGATCTGCAGAAAAGGAATGGCTAAAGTTTTTAGAGGAGAGATTGCCTGCTCGAGTCTCAATTTACGTGTCGACTAGTCGACAAGGACCATCCAACAGCTTTGGACAGAAGATTCACCACCTGCCGCACTGCCGTGTCGCCCAGAGAAGTGCGACTGAGGCGGAGGGACTTCCGATAGATGCGGCTGCTCAGAGCTGAAATCATAAGATGATTCGCTGTCAGCAAAGAGAGATTAAGTATCCCTACGTCTAGAATAAAGTATATTTAATTTAATTTCATCAAAAAACATAGGGTACAGAAACTCAGAATACGCCCCTTTTTTGAATTTTCGATCTCTCAAATAACTTTTTCCACTGGGGCCACCCGTATGGGGCTCGTATCTTTGTCACTCATTCACTTTCAAACAATTCGACCTTGGCGCGCAGATTTAGCGATTATTCAGTCGATACCATCGATAGTCGAACGGCCTTCTTCGAATCGGTTATGGCTCCCTCTTTCGCTTTCCTTGAGTCGGTTCGACATGATGCTCATGTCATATTATATTATAATAAAATATTTACTTTATCCTCCTTTTGCTTACGCTTTTTGACAAATATAAAATGAATTATTTACATACAAATTTTATTGCTGAATAGTTTCTGAATTGGTGCTGTTAAATATCGGCTAGCTGCTCATCCCTAACTCTAATCTGTTTATTGTATTGGCGCCGCATATTTTTGTATTTATTTAGCATCATAGTCCATCGAAGACAACAAAAAAAGGCGCAAAAGGCAATGCCAAAAAGCAAGCAGTAAGTGAGCACTTAATTTCATTAAAAATATAAAAATGTATTCTCCTCGCAGGGAGGCACGTCGTCATGCAGTCTCTTTTAAGGAATTTAGTAGGCTAATAGAGAATCTGCCAGGCATTGCCGAGGATGTGCAACGCGATTTCGCTGGGGATGGAGCAAACAAAACGCTGGACGAGTGCGCCCGGTGGTACTACAATGCCTTCTACAAGGACCTCAGCGTTCGAAATCGGTACAAGTTCAAGGTGCGCGCTTGTGCCAAACTAAAGAAGGATAAGTTGCTCAGCCTGCCAGAGGCAGAAGTAGATGAGACGTCCGAAGAGAGTCAGCATGAATCGGCTGATGATGTTGAGGTCAAAGTGGACAAGTAAGTATAAGTACCACCCCATGTACGCCACATTTTTGGCTAATTCCCTTGATCATTGACAGAATGGGAATGTTCATGTTTCCCGTAACCTTCGGCACCTTTGCAAAGTACGCGGACAAGGATAAGATATGCAAGCTTACGACACGGAAGGAAAAAAGCACCGAAGAAATCGAGTCCGATAGCACACAGAAACGACGTCAGTTGCAGAAATTCTACAACTCATTCTACATGTTTCCAGAAGAACGAAAGTGCACCAATATATTCCCTGAGGCACCCCCTGATCTTCTATTGAAGTTGCTACAATCCGGCTATCCCGTCGATGAAGAAACAGCCAGCAGATTAGCAGAGCATAAAAAAAAGGGTCAATCAGTCCAAGAGCTCGAGACGCATCGGGAGCCTGATACTCCTGAAGCTCCTGAAGCCAGCAGGTGAGTCCACGCTATAAATACAAATGTCCTCCAGCAGTGCGCTTCAATTTGTACCCTCGACAGCGACTTTCCCATTGTGAGCTTCCAAGTATTCGAGAAATATCTGGCGAACCTCCACGATATTGTGTGGCAGCTGAAGCTCAACGATCCCGAGTATGTGGCCAAGGGCTTTGACGAGGGGGCCTATTGCTATTACTTGGCATTTTATCTAACGCCGGAGATTCGTGACCGATACAAGTACATCCTAAGGCCGTGTACGTCGGACCTGAGTGCCCGCCTACTTGCCATACCCAGCCGCGAGGAAGCCGAAAAGCTGAGGCGCAAGTTGCCAGAGTTGATTAAACCATCGCCAGATCTGGAGCGACCAAAAAGTCCCGATTTGGTCACAGAAACAGCAGTGTCACCTGTCGAATTTAAGTTCTTCAAAAAGTATATCGTGAATCTGGATGACATCAGCCAGCAAATGCGAGGCTGCGACGAGTACAAGGATTTATCCGAAGGGGAGTGTGTCGCGGAGTACTTCAGGCAGTTTTACAGCGCGCCAGAAATACGCGAGCGATTCCAGTATAAGCTGAAGCCATGTCCCGGAATGGTACGCGAAAGATTGCTGGGTCGACCGGTCTGCTCAGACGGGTAAATGAAAATATGAACGCCTTTCACGTTCAATTTGAAATTGTTTTGTGCATTGCAGGCCATCGAATGGAGCTGAACAGAACCGACCAGCTCCAATGAAGGATAGCAGTCGTCAGTCAGACCCGTAAGACCTCTGTTTTTAATGTTTTTGTGGCTTTTGATTGGTAAATTACGTTAATATTTATGTTTCAGGGAGCCTCTGCCTGAGGACGAGGACTGTGTCGAGTAAGAAATAACGAATAATGATTGTGCAAAGATTTAAAATCTCGTTTTCTCTCTTTCAGAAACGATAACAACAACAAGAACAAGTGTCCAGTTACGTTCAAGGAGTTCAAGCGTAGTGTGTCGAATCTCAGCGAAATTGTACAGAAAATGCAGCAGAGCGAGGAGTACAGAGAGAAGTCCGAAGAGCAGTGTGCTGAGGAGTACTACCGGGGGTTCTATTCCATGCCCGAGATGCGAGAACGCTTCGAATGTAAGTTCAAGCCCTGTCCCGCCAAGCAGTGCGAGTTGCTGCTCCGCTATGCAGTGGAACCTCTTCAACCACCCGAAGAGCAGTCTGAAAACATTCCGCCTCAGAATACAATGTGGGTATCTTCGCCTATAATGCAAGATTTTAGTTTGAACAAACATTACCTTTGCTGCAGTTTCAGAAAGCCGGATTCTTTGAGCTCCACGCCCGATGACGTAGTTACTATTGGGTAAGAGAATGCCATATCTTTCTTGCGCCCACACAAGAGTGTTCTAATAATCTCGTGCTCCTCTCTCTGCAGCACTGCTCGCTTCAAGTTTCCCGTGTCCTTGGGTGTGTTCAGGCGCTGCATTAACTACGACGAAATCGTCAGGTCCCGGCTGGGAAAATCTACCGTCAAGCCGCAGCTCCAGGCCCAGACAGCCAACCCGCAGAACCCACACTACGAAAGGTATTTCCGTCAGTTTTATGTCGGGTTCTACGCATTCCCCTATTTTCGCAAGCAACACGCATACCGATTCGACTGTGGGGGGGACAAAGAGCTGCTGCAAAAGCTGTGCGATTATGCAGTACCATTGAATGAGAGTGCCAAGCGGAAAGTGGATGACGAGGAAAAGCTCCGACGACCGACTGGTAGTCGTGGAAGAACAGAAGCTGCACCTACTTTGATGCCCAAGCCAGCCCTGACAGAACCCTGTGGCGTCACACCAAAGATTTCCTTTGAAGTATTTTCGAAACTTTTGTACCTCGAAGATGCAGTTAGCAAAATGCTGCTGCATCCAAACTTCGCGGCACTGACGGAAGATGAGTGCCAACGGCTGTACTACGAGGCCTTCTATAGCACGCCCAGCATACGCGACAAGTATCCGTGTAGAATAAAGCCCTGCCCGGCCAGCTTGAGGGCCAACCTACTGCATATCCCCCCCAAGCCGGATAACCTGTCTGATCACAGACACCCTCAGAGAAACTTATCTGGCCAGCGCCAGAGCACTCCAGATGTGGACAGATTATATGCGGATAGGAAAGCCGAGCTTGATGGGTAAGAAATTTGAGTTTCCTGGCCCCAGGATTCTTTAGATGCATTGTCTCCCTTCCTTTCTTTCAGCAAGCAAAAGCTTAACGTGGTCAACTACGTGCCTCACAATCTGAGCTCCTACATAGCTCGTCGTGTTGCATGTCCCGAGAGAAGAGCTGTCGTTGAGAAGTATATAGTCGAAACGGTAAGGGATTTGAATGAGGCAGCGGCTATCAGTGTCTCGGGGCTGGATACAGCTAGGAGGGAAATCGGTGAAGAAGAGAAGACAGAGGCTACACCAGTGGCTGCAACGATAGACGTAGAAACCACAGCAGCGACTGGCCGTGAACCTGCAGAATGTCCAGCAGCCTCTATTGAAGTTGAAGGGGAAGTTGAAAAGCCAGAGGAAAGCAGAGTAAAGGGCGACACTGTGCCAGAGAGTAC